ATGCCATGCAGCCACGTGCACGAGGTCAAAAGGCCGCGTCGTTACTTTTGTATGCCATGCAGCCACGTGCACGAGGTCAAAAGGCCACGTCGTTACTTTTGTATGCCATGCAGCCAAGTGCACGAGGTCAAAAGGCCACGTCGTTACTTTTGTATGCCATGCAGCCACTTGCACGAGGTCAAAAGGCCACGTCGTTACTTCTGTATACCATGCAGCCACGTGCACGAGGTCAAAATGCCAACTCACCTGGCACTCCCTTGCTGCAAGAGAGAAGGGCACCTCACCTCGCTACACTACTCACTAAATGAGCAAAATGACAACGAATCTTCCGCTACAACAAGGGAAGGTACATCCATATTTTGTCTTTTGTGCATGTGGGAGAGGTGTGATTTCCTTCAACACGACTCGGCATGACAGCAGGCAAAGCATGATTTGATGGAAACACACCAAGACGCACAAGAGGCGGTTCAGGACCTCACTACACTACCCACCAAATGTGAGCAAAATGACAATGAATCTTCCGCTAGAACATGGGAAGGTACGTCGCCATATTTTGTCTTTTGTGCACGTGGCCAGTAGTGGACAGTAGTGGAGCGAGTCCATTTTAACACAGGAGGAATGCACCGGAGCTGGCTGGATCGTTCGGGAGTCGGGAGAGAGAGAGAGAGAGAGAGAGAGAGAGAGAGAGAGAGAGAGAGAGAGAGAGAGAGAGAGAGCCATACCTGCTGTTGAAAAAGAAGAGGACGAGGAAAAGGACAACGACGAGGAAGAAGAGGAGGAAGACAAAAGAATGAGTAAGGTACTAAGGATGAGGAGAATAAGATAGGAGCACGAGGAGAAGAACGAGCACAAAGAAGGGGAGGACGGGAAGAGAAGGAGAACGAGGTATGCAAGAAGAGGGAGGAGGAGACCGTGGAAGAAGAGAATGACAAAGAAGGGAGAAGGACGGGAAAGGAGGACAACGAGGACAAAGAAGAGGAGGAGGACAAGGAGGACAACAAAGGGGAGGAGGACGAGAAGAGGGGAAGGAGGAAGAGGAGGGGAGGAGGGGGAGGAGGAGGAGGAGACTATGCACGAGTGGAAGAGGGCAAGGAGAACGACGAAGAGATCGAAGAAGGGGAGGAGGACGATTGAAAGAGGAGAAAGGACTGAGAAAGAGAGGAGGAGGAGAGGAGAGGGACGACGAGGGTGAGCCGCAGGCCTCCGAAGTGGCGGAGGCAATGGAGGAGGAGGAGGAGGAGGAGGAGGAGGAGGAGGAAGAGGAGG